CCCTGGACGCGGATGCGTGGCCTGGGGAAAGAGAGGGAGAGGGAAAAACCCAGCGGTATTCCCCCCACATACAGTTGGCTCTAACTGGGAATAGCATTACTGCTCCAACAAAGGCTGTGAACGGAATGCCGTGCAGGTTTGCGTGTGAAGAGAGGGGCCTGTCATATCAGCTGTGTGAAAGTTAAAGTGGCGACACATGCGGCAATCTGCTTTTTCACTCTCCAGCTCCTTTATCCAGGCCCAGCAGTTTTCCTGTGGTTTATTCTTCCTATCCCACCACAGGAAGGCCGTCCCCCACTGCTGCTGCTTCCTATCCTCGGCTTTCCTCCTAAATCTTTTCCTTCAATCCTCGCTCTGTGCTGATAGTTGAACGCGCCGGCCTCCCATATTAAACACTGATGAGTGATTTATACAGTTTCCTGGGTCAACCACCTTCTGCCCCTTCAATGTTACGTGGTTAATGACAGCCCAGCCTCTGTCCTCACCTCCTGCCCTCCCTAATCCCATGTTCTGATTTGTGCTCTAATTGGATTGTTCCCCTGTTCTTCTGTTCTTGCAGGAACACGGTGGTCTTCTTCGAATCTTCCCCGAAGGAAAGGCTCAGTTTGCGGACATAGAGCCCAAATTTGACCGTCTGCTGCTCTTCTGGTCAGACAGACGGAATCCTCACGAGGTTCAGCCTGCCTTCTCCACCAGGTCTTCATCCCCGTCACCTCCACCTTTCTCACCCACAAACACACGCATAGAAACGATTGCCTGTTTTGCCGCGGCTCACCGCTTCCTTGTGTCTCTGCAGGTATGCCATCACTGTGTGGTATTTTGATGCGGATGAGCGAGCCAGAGCTAAGGAAAAGTACTTAACAGGTGAAGATCGGATCAGCCAGCCAAACCACCTTGTTTCCCTCCGTTAAAAGCGCCTCTATGCTGTTATTTAGACACCATCCCTAATGACTGTGCTTTCTTTGTCTGCAGGAGAAAAAGGTGTCAAAGTGGAGCTCAACAAACCGTCAGATCCCAGCTAGTGGGAACCCTCATTCCCCACCAGCAGCCATTAAGTGCTCTCTTTCCAGAAAGTGGCCTGAAGAGTGTGTGTGCGTTTTACAAAACAGCTTGAATGGGTGGAAAGTCTCCTTAAGACAAAACAACCACGCCGATATCTGCTCGTTTCCAGTAAATCCAGTAGACCTTGAATGTCAACACGTCATACTGAAAGGGATCTTGTGTTTTCTCACCCCCTGGGTGGAGAAGGCCTACTTCATAAACTGACGTTTTCAGACCGGAAATTAAGCTTGGACAACTTCTACATCCATTGCATTTTTGTTCATTTTATTTTATTTTTTTTTCAGTGAAGTCATTTAAGGTACAGTGTTTGTGCGTGTGTTCAAAGTGCTGAGCTTTTTACATGGAATCAGCTGTTCTAAGATGTTGTATGGCAAATTGTGATTGAGTTCGCAATAAAACCGTGAATGATCTGAATTTAAAAGGTAGTTTTTTCATTACCCCGTCATTTGTCGGAAAGTTTAAATCAAACAGCTGAGCTTCCTTCTTGTCGCTTCACTTCAGATGAGGTTAAGCTTCAGTATCCTCGAGATAAACATCCTCTAGAAACCCATACAGGTTCATTTTTCAGATCACACTTAAGACACTTGTCTGTTTTTGTGCTGCTGCGTCAGTGAAACAACACCGTCTGCTGGACTGTCTTTTCTGCTGTTTCAAAACTCAATGCTGCCCTCTGCAGGTAGTATACAGAGCACGTCTGCAACAGCGGGTTTCTGTGTTAAATGTTTAATTTCGTAATGAAAATGATTATTTACATTAAATTTAAAAAAAATAATCTTCAACCATAATTAAATATTTAAGGGTACTCACACGTCTGACTTTAACCCGAGAACTGCAACAGTTTCATTCTCAGAGTCAAAACACCCACAGTTCAAAATTTCATTCCCAGTATTTTTAAAAATTAGATTTCTAGATGATTGCTCTGAGATGCAATTCAGATCCAGATAAAAGCTGGAAAATGACAGGTTAATGCAACTCTGAAGTGACTTAGATAGACGATAGAAAGTGTAAACATCACCTGCTGTGAATTGACTGCAGCCCATAATCAGTGCTTTTTAGAATAAAAACAAGTCGGTAATTTAGCTGAACTGTGACTTTGTTCTGATTAATGTCAGGAGGAGGATAAACACACATGGACTCAGAGTCAAAACACCCACAGTTCAAAGCTGAGACTTTTATAAATCATGTGTTAAGAGCACTTAGGTTTTATTAAGTATTAAATATCACTAAAATAAACAATTTGTATGAAAAGTAAAACATGACATAGCAACAGTACATACTACAGGGGTCAGGAAATATATTAGGCACAACTCAATATAAGCTGCTCAGTGTAAAAAGTCAGAGTTAGACTAAACGTTTCTAAAAGGAGTGTGCAAAGTCATTCTTCTGCCTCCGTTGGTCCTTCAGTGGGACATGTCTGTGGGTTTTCCTCTGGACGACATAGAAAATCAAATGTTTGCAGTAGAAGGACAAAGTTCAGCCACATGTTCCTCCGTCAGTGTGAGAGACTGTGCAAAAAATACACAGAATAGCAAAGGTCATCAGGAGTCACCGGTCTGGGGTCAGTAAGGGCTGAGCTCCTCTGGAGGAGGCCGGGGAGGAGGGGGGGTGTGGTAACTGTCATCTCCAATGTAGGCCCCGATGCCGCTGCTTTGACTCCCCCAATCATAACTGTCAGCAGCCAGACTGAGGGAAAACAGGAATCCATTAAATTTGTTTGTGTGTGAGTCATAGGCTGCGTATGAGAAATGAACATAAAGACCTGGACTATCAGGGTGATGTCATCAATCAACTGACAACACAGACTATGACTGCTGCGCTGTACACCACCAAGAACATACAGTACAGTTTGAGTAATTAGCTAGTCGTGCTGCAGCGTTTAATTCACCTTGCTTGGATGTTCTGAGGCATGACGCTCCAGGCCAGGTCATCATCGCTGTCGTAGCGCCTTGGGTTATCAAAGAAATAAGCCCCAGAGTTAAAAACGTGACCAGGAAGTCCAGAGCCGCTCTGTAGCACCAGGAGAGAAGGAAGAAAAATCGGATTTATGAGTTATTCTACGTCATTTTCATCTGTATAAGAGTCAAACTCAATGTTTTTTAAAAATAAGTCTCAGTAGTTAATTAATTAGTAGTAGTTAGTTAATTAGTAGATAACCAATTAGCTTAGCATCAAAACCTAAGAGAAGAGATTTATATACTCTGTCTTTAGCCTTTTAGTATGCTCAAAATATAATTGCAAGTGCTGTGTAACATGAACAGGTTTCCCCTTCACACCATCAGTGAGTTTATGTTACACCATCTATACTGCTCTTTACAGTACAGTACTTGAGTAATTATATTCTGAGTACTTCAAGAGTTAAAAGCATGTTCTGAAATTCTGACTCTGGTTTCGTTGTTGAATTTTGTTTTTAATACCCCGTGACGTCGAGGATACTTTTATGAAGTACTTCACATCATGTTCCACTGTCGGGGTAAACAATGCTGTTTTCTGGACAGATAGATTTGACTTTGTCTGCTTAAAAAACGTTTTACATTGTGATTTGAACATCTTCCATCCAGGGATTTTTTTTTTTTTTTGACAAGAATAAAAAAATAAAAGAACCTCCACATTGTTAGAAACCCCTTCTCCCTCACTGTGGCCTCACCCTGTCCAGGTCTGGATGGCGAACTCTGAAAAAGAAAACTACCAGAGACGTGGGCAGCAGCTCCCACACGAACAGGACCACTCCAAATACGACGTAACCCGTGTCGCCAAGAGTGGACTGTAGATCTGCCTGAAAAGAAACATCGGATTGTGTAAAAAAAAAAGTCACATTTTCAAATACTGCAAAAGTATTTCTAATGAAATCCAATGGCCTTGGAGACTATGTGACTCTCCGTTGGTTCACCTGGTCAGACACGTTGTACCAGTCGAAGTCAAAGGAGCTGATTTTCTTGTTAGAGAGTCCCAGGACGACCAGGTTGTAACAGGCCCTGGATGAGTACAGGAGAATGACGATGGCCCCGATAACTGTCACCTGACAAACTGAGGTCCCCTGGTGTTAAGAGGGAGAACATTCACAAATGGGCAACAATAACAAAACATGGACATGATCATTTTTTTCTATTTCAACTGCAGCGCCTCCTACAGCTTCTCACCTTTGACTCCAGGTAAATGTTGGCCAGTGACATTTTAGCGATTTTATAAAGACACACAGAGAGTGAGATGGCACACAGGACAAAGAGGGAGTCGTTGATGGTGACCCTCACAAGAACAATGGTGTGGACATCTGCCAAGGACGTCCTCACCTGCAGGGCACACACTAGATTCACCACTAAAAACAGCAGGCTGATGATCAGGAAGATCAGGAACAAGGGAAGCCTGTGGATGGGGAGAAGTAACTTCAAATTAATAATAATACATTTTTAAAAAAGTAAACAAACATTTGAGCAGTTTGGTCAAATGGAACCACTTTGTCTCACCTGAATCTTAAAAGCTCTGGTGCATACTTTGACTTTGCCTTGAAAACAACCTGTAAATAAATTAAAATAAAATATATGTAAAAAAAAATACATTATCACTTAGCAAATGTGTGACTACTAAAAACTTATTTTCACTTCTCCTTAATGTTTCAGTGGAGAAAATGTCACATCCTCTGGAAACAGGAACCTCACTGTAGTCAGCAGCTGTGTTTTGATGTTTTGATACACAGCAGTCACACAAACGCATGTAACTCTTTATGACTCACATTCAAATGTGACACAAACTAACACCACGACCACTGAGCTGAACCTCGGCACAGCTCGGGCAGAAATATCACAGTCAGATATGTGGATCCTGCCGGCAGACAATGGACTGATTCAAGACAGGAAATTATGAAACTCCTATGACAGAGAAGCTCTTTACATGGAGAGCGCTGCGTTGGAACACACTCTGTGGTCAGATATGATCAGTGTCGTCAGTCTCTGATACAAAATCTGAACAAGTTTAAGCCATCAGTCAGTTTCTTCCATACAGTTTTTACATGTTGAGCACAGGAAGTGTTCACTGGTTGATAATCTGAGCGGAGGAGGAAGCATAGTAACACACTGTGGTTATGACAGATTGTAGAAAACAGTATGGACAGAAGTAAAACTTCCATTTAAAAAAAAGAGAATCTTCCTGAATTATCACTACGTTGTGGTGTTTTCTGCAAGTACACACTGATGAAAGTGACAAATATTTTTGACCAACTATTTCTTTCAAATTAGTTCAATAAAATAAAATAAATGTATTTGTTTAAAATGACACCAGGACAGTTAATAAATTAGAGGCATAGTTAACAGTTATACAAATGAGGGATTATTTAGAAACAGGGAGAGTGAGAGAGAGAGAGAGAGTGAAAGAAAAAACACAGCAAATGTGCAAACTTTGTACACGAAGGTTTGGTATGTGGAACAATCACTTGTTAGGAGGCAACAATCACAAAACATGGACATGGTCATTTTATCTATAATTGAGTGGCATATGAGCAAATGTGTTTAGGCTAAAACATATGTTTTTAAATTGATAATTTACAATCCAAGCTCACAGCTAGCACTGCAGCTAGGAGTTAGCAAATAATGAAGCAGAAATAATAACAATTTACTCATTTACTTTACGACAAATGAAGCTATGGTTATATGATATATGTACAAAACAACAGCACTAGAAAGGCATGAAAATAGGCAAAAGAATTAACATTTAGCCCAGAAATAGCTGTACCTTTGCAAATACCAAAGAACAAATAGTTTAGGACCAAAATTTGGAACAGTGATCGTTTAAAAAGCCAAAAATAAAATATCTATAAATTAGTCTCAAAACTGCCAAAAGCTCTAACATAACTACAAGCTAACCCTAAATAAGCTAAAAGTAAGCTATTACCATTTAAAATATTGAAAATTAACTAGAGGCATAATTAACGGTTATACAAATTAGGGATTATTTAGAAACAGGAAGAGTGTGAGAGAGAGTGGATGAGAAAACAAACTAATTGACTAATTTACTCTTTGATCGATTAATCAATCGATTGCAAAAATGAAATCTGATTGTTTTTGCTTAAATAATCAAACAATTATTATTATTTAAAAGTAATCAAAAGATTAGCAGCCAAACACCTCAGACATCCAAAGTCCTCAGGAGGAAAAGGGAGCTCGACCACGTGACCCGGTGTTGACAGTGTGAAGGAAACAAAAACACGTGACAGCCGTGACGCAGTCTCACCTGAGCGAAATACAGGTTCATGAGGCAGAGGGTGAAGAACTGGAGACAGACTGGGAAGCAGTAGAGCAGCCAGTAGGGGAACGGGCTGAGAGTGTTGGCCGTGACGAAGTTGTTGAAGTAGAAGGAGAACAGCAGGCTCCGCAGCGCCGACCACAGCAGGCACAGGAACAGGAAGACGCTCTGGTAACTGAAGCGTTTGTGTCGGTACCGCAGGATCAGCCACAGCTGGGTGTAGATGAAGACGAAGAGGAGGGAGTAGAAGGTCGTGTAGACCACCGTCAGGCCCAGCGTGACGTAGGGAGACAACGCCGGGCTCATGGTGGGCAGGGGTTGGTCCGTGGGTGCCGGGTCCAGAACCTCCATGGCGGTGATGATGATGATGTTACCTGGATCAGCAGCAGCAGAGACCGGCCTCCGGTCTGGTTTTACGCACGGACACTTGTTCCCCGATGAGGAGGAGGTACGAGGCAGAAAGCGTAAAAGGATGACACTGTCAGGAGGAGGGAGGAGAGAAAGTCAGCCGAGAGGAAACGACTTCCACTTCCTGCAGCAGAGTCGGAGGCACAGACAGGCGGAGAACCAGGTGCATGGTCAACGAGGAGGCTGAGCCGACTGACAGGAGGCAGCAGCGGGGGGGAAACTGGCGGCCGACGACCCGCTACAGTCTGGAGATCAGAGTAGTGAGGAGCAGCCTGCGCCTCCTCCAGCCATCCCAGCAGCCTCTGCGTGACGCTTAGCATCAGCTGACGCACACTGCTGGACCTTTAACCCTGTCGTAGGGATTCCCACCAAGTGTTGAGCCCGAGGGAGCAGTTAGAGAAGGATGGCAGTGATGGTGATGCCAGTCTGTCTTTGGGATGGGATACAAACATACAGGAAAGAACCAGATCCACAACACTCGGTGTTTTTGGTTTTGTTTTCTCAACATTTTTCATGTAGAGGAGGGGGAACATACAGGAAAGAACCAGATCCACAACACACTGTGTAGTAATTCATTCTAGCTCAGTGGTCTCCGATGTTTTTCAGGCCAATGACCCCCACCTTAACGGAGAGACGTAGCAGCCCCCCCATGCATATACTGTATAAAATTATGCCCTCCCCAATAAAACCCCTTATGCAAAGTGTAAACAGTCCTTGTTAATTTCTCTGTAAAATCAGTTTTCTTTCATAGTCTCAAATCAGCTTCTGGCCTCTCTGCAGAGAAACACTTTGTTATTGTTGCCTGGGTTAGTTTCACAGGACTGAGGCTGGTGAACTCAGGGGGTTAAAGGTCACCAGGTTTTACCCTTGACCAAAAGGATTACTTCACATTTTCTCACACATGTATCATTGTTTATGATACAGTTAAAACCTTCTAGCTTTGACATAATGTACTTTAATTATCTTTGGTAATCTAAAAATGGAATGAAATTAACATTTATATTTTTTAATTGACAACTTGAAACTTACCTGAGCTAGCTGGGATTAGCTTAGCATTTCAAAAGAATATTTTGTTAGTTAACATGGGATTGTACCAAGTGATTATATATATATATATATATATACGTGAAATACACGTGATCTCAGACTGAGGATACAGCTGCAGTTTCCTGCCTTTACACCGTCTGTTCCCAGATCAGCTCCAGAAAAGGGTGCATGTGTGTGTGTGCTCGCGCAATAATTTGTTATTCTATTTTTATTCGATCTCTGTACATTTTATCAACTTCATTACTAAAAACCTAATTTCACGGACACCATGTAAAGAAACAAGCAAATGACCAGCAGGTGGCGCATTGAGACCATAGCAAGTTAAAGACAGGAACAGAATACTGTATCTCATGATAGTGATTATTTTAATGGACACTGAAACCTTGAGTATGATCATAGTACATCATCCTACAAAGTACACAGTGAATATATTATTTATGTTTTTTTAGCCAGAAAGTAAACATTGGTCATTCCTTTACACTGCTGTTTTTAACAGTGTAATTGATCATTTTTGATAAGTCTTTGACACGACATTCTTTTACAGCATTTTTCTCTATGTTTCCCAATTTACTGCTTCATAATCCCTTCCAAATTGAATCAACGTTGACTTCAAATCTTTTATAACAAGATTTCTGTTATTGTATGACCAGATGTTGGGAATTAAATAAAACAAAGATGAAATCTACTATTATTTATTTACTTATTTTTTAAATATTTCCTTTTAAACAGCACAACTCGTTAGGAACAAACTTTGGAAGAGAGTGGCCTAATATTTTAAAAGTAGTGTAGTCAAAAGTTTCAGTGGTAGTTTTTCTTTCTTTTTCTTTTTTTAAATAACCATGAATGGTTAATTACTCTATACTGTAGCGGTTCCCAAAGTGAAGGGCGCAACCCTGGGTGTCCCGCAAATGAAGTCAACAAACTTTTCCCACAGTAGAGGGCAACATTTCAAAACGGTTTGTAGCAAAACTATAATACACTGAAGGTGTTATTTATATATTCATATTTGTGTTTAAGAACTACTGTAAAATACCTGTGTTTTTGTGTCGCCATTTTATTTACAGTTTTATAGTATTTTACCATTTTATAGTAGTGGGTCAATGGATAAGTAACACAGGTGCAGTAATAATCCAGTTTTTCTTCCCCACCATTTTCACTGGAACTACAGAAATATGAATGCTTTCCAGTGACCATCCCTGATAACTCCAGCTCATCCACATGCCTCAGATGATTAGAGCATGGACCAGTGCTCTGTGATAGAATGACTTGATGAACCAGGCTGTGAGGCTCTGTTGCTGGTAACTGGTCCATGCTGTGATGTCTGTGTCCCGATGGCCCTTTGGCCTGTGTCCAGACTCCGTCCCTCTGACCTCCCACTCTGTGGCCCCTGGATTATTACTATACCTCCATCAACCAAACAGAGCTGGGGGCTCTTTAGCTTTACATATCACAGTGGAACAATGAGCTAAAAGAATTGAAACAATGTTTTTAAAGTCAGTTGTGTTCATAGATTTGTCAGGTTTGGGTTTTGTAGGATTTTACAGATTAAATGTTGGCTCCAAACTGGTCTGAACCACATCACTCCAGGAATGTTTCAGGACAAACATGAGGAGCAGGAGTGTGGGCGACCTGTGATCTCTCCTCAGCGCTGCCGGTTTATGAAAGCTCTTCTCCGCTGCCCCCTCATCTACACTACACTCCGCCCCACGTCTCTCCAACTCTGACTGGACTTTCCTCCTGTGGATCCTGTGCGTCAGTCTCCTCTAACCTAACCAAGCTCCTTGGACGAGCTGGAATGACGCTGAAAGTTGGGACCATGGGTTGGCAGGAGCGACGATGGCTCGTCTGTGCCACATTCCTGGGCTTTTTCCTGGTGTCCCCGGTGTGGAGCATAACAAGGAGCGAGCTTTTCTCCTACGGTGGAGACCAGTTACTGGAGCCAGGGAATGACCAGACGCACCGAGTGGAGCTGGACCAGCCCGTGTTGTTCTATGATGGCACTTTCGACAGCATCTATGTAAGTTCATCTTCTATTACTCTGACTATAACATGGGAGGAAAACTCCTGGAACTTTCTGGACGGAGTGGACAGTCCACGGAACTTGCGTAATTGCGCATTCCCTGGAAAAATCGGTGTGGAAAGGCGGTCAGTTTTCACAACCTCCTACAATGTTGGGAATTAGCTCGTCTTAGCGCAGAGTTGTGTTTTAAGTATTTTCAGCGTACTTGTAAGTATTGATCCTTTGATTATCTCGGAGTCCACAGTATCCCCCACATACATTCCTACAGTTTCCCAAATAGGTGATCCTCTCACCCTGAGACCGAAGTACTGAAGGAATTCCATTTTGTAATCCATTCCAAAACATCTATGTCACAGATAACAGTGTAGTACTGATAGGTGCTGCTGAGACCCAATACTTTGAACATACAACTCCAAGACTTTATTATTATTATTATTATTATTATTATTATTTCACGGTTGTTGTTTTTTTTTTTTTTATGGAGATCCCTAAAAAGCTCGGACAATTGACCTGGAAAAAAATGGGCAACAGATTTGGATGAAAGCTGCAGCCTTGTGCAGGACAGACAAATAGCCCTTTATTCCCAGTCGTTCTTCCGTTGAAAGCAAAGTGCTGGAGCTCACTTTCAACTCAACATGTCATTAAACCTTAATTACTCTAAAAAGCGGGGTTTTTTTCTTGAAGACCAGGAGAGGTTGACACCCCCCCCCCCTCAAACT